GCTATTAAGGCGCGTCACCGAAGAAGAAGCGGGAAATACTGTTTTGGTAGATCAAATGGGTTAAGTATTTACTATTAAAGAACGCTGATTACAACAAAATAACGACACACTTAAGGATATTGTTTAAAGAATGGGCTAATGCGTAACATAATAGGATGTACTTTATCCGATCGTATAAAATACTGAAAACAGGTTAAAATAAAAGTTAAAAACTAATTATTTAGGAATAAAATATCTAACTTTGTGTATAATTTTTGTATGAAAATATTTTTTTTGCACTACAGAGAACCTGCAAAATGTTGGTTTTCAACTGAAGCCCCAATAGTTATTGAATTCACATTCTCCGTCAATCGCCATCGGGCGCTTGTCAATGTCGGATCTGTGCCAAATTTTTTCCACCTTTTCTTATTTTATACACACTAATTTACAACGCGCGGATTGCGGGACGCGAGGGGCATCCCCCACACACGTCACCTCCTAAACTCTAGGCTCGCATAGAAATACCTCGCCTTAAGTTGCTTATGCCAAGCCCTTTAAGTAACAACACTAAAGCACACACTTACAGTCCCGCACTGGGGAAACCCTGTACATCTCGGGTGCCATGGACACAAACACATAGACAACTGCAAAGTACACCCAAACACACGAGAGAAATAAATGCAGGCCATACAAATATTTCTCCCGACCCGAGAATCGAACCCGGGACCTCTGCGGGGCAGTCCAGCTCAACAATCGTTCGGCCATTGAGGTATTTGAAATAAATTTATACCTATGTATTCAGTAACAAGAATTTTCGCTGACCTTTGGCTCTATTAGCTATCGTAATCTCCCTTAAATCAAATTCCAACCCATTCCACGTACCCTTCTACTCTCTGTTGTTTTAAACTCTCGAAACTCGAGCCACCAACGTCGTCATCATCCCACTAATTTTCTGTCCAGTGATCCCGATCCACCCTTATTAACGAAATCCTGCTTCACATTCCTCAAAAAAATTGAATTTAATTATTTTCCCTCAAAGTGGGGTTCTATTTGATATTGTAATGAAACTACGAATCAATTCAAAACAATAACGTTTTAACCAATTCTCACAAGGCAAAATCCGTTTCGACAATTTCAAATTACTTTTCTAAAATGGAGCACTTATCTTCATCTGTTTTTGCCACCAATGCTTTCATTTATGACGTAGCTATACGCTATTATGAAAAAAGAAAAGTTTAATAACACTACCAACGACCACTTTAATAAATCAATATTCATATAGAACCTAAACCCGCAGTAATATTATGTAAAATTGTATCAACCTAAAACATTTATTTTAGTAATGACACTAAATAGTGGAAAACCTTTACAGTGCCTTTTTTTTAACTGAGACAGTATGGAGACATCCGAAACTATAGGAGTTACAGGGCAACTGTTTGTGAACCATTAAGTCTTTTTGTTATGAAAACAATTTTAGCATAGTAAATTTTTTGGTCAATCGTGAGTTGTCCATAAAAATGATTAATTTTTTTGTGCTGATCGACTCAGTTTTATGGAAGGATCGTTACATTGAGCTGAAAGAAAAAAAACGGGACAGCAGAAGTTAGTAAAATTGTATAAAATGTTTTTTCATACAAAATGAATAAAATTGGCTGGGAACTGCGCTGGTGTCCAGACTATGCTCCAAGACCTGCACGAGGCTTCACTAGCTATCGGCCTTGAGATGCGGAAATCCAAAACCAAGATCATGGTCATGTTGACGAGTACATTTATCTTGGACATTGGTTAACTTCTGGCCGGCCTGGATGGACCGCCTTTAGAAAACTGGAGGAGCGGACGTCTACAAGTCTAAAATCCCATGAAGCAAAAAAATTAAAGTTTATAACTAATGCGTCCTGCCTACATTCACTTACGGCGCCGAGACTTGAACGCTCACAAAGGAATACATGCACAAAATCAGAGAAGCACAAAAGGCAACGTCACTATGCTCGGAATTCCCCGCGTCGAACGTATACCCAACGAGGAGATACGACAGCGAACAAAAGTCGTAGACGTAGGTGTGCGGATCGCGAGCCTGTAATGGAGATGGGGAAGAAACGTTGCCCGGCGGGACGACGACCGATGGACCAAGGCGGCCGCTGAGTGGTTCCCTGTAGGAGCGAGACGTTCTCGAGGCAGACCTAGACGGTCGGACGGTATCGTACAGGACCGATTCAGCTGTCGTGCAAATTCAAATTCAAATTCAAATTCAAATTCAAAATATGTTAAATAATACTTTATATGAATAATACTAAAGCTTTATTCAAATTCCAACAAACATTACATATTTCTTATAAAATAAAAATTGTGACACGTAATAAGTATCATCATCATCATCATCAGCCTATTGCAGTCCACTGCTGGACATAGGCCTCCCCTAATGCACGCCATTTCGCCCTGTTCTAAGTAATAAGTATAACTTAACTGAATTCAAATTATAATTATAATATTGTAATAAAAGTCATATTAAAGATATATTAAAATATTTTTGTTTAACGTGAACCATTCATGGTGTTTGTTTGGACCCTCTTCGGGTAAAAGCCTCCTCCAATGTCCTCTCAATTGTAGAATATGTCAAATACCATAAATTAATAATATCCGTTGAGCGTTATATCAACTAAAAATATGTCATATTGTTATAATATCATAAGAACCGCACCCCCTATTATCCCGACTCGGGCTGACTCTATGTGGCCAGTAATAGGTAGGTAAATTGTTTAATCGCTTCTATTTCCATTTTGACAAGTTAATATAATGTACGCGAAAGTTTAAAACTGTATACACGTATATAATGTTTCTGCTTATAAGCACGAGTGCGATCATAGGCTTCAGGTAACATATACACCATACTGTAGTACACAATGTGTAAGTTGTAGGCGCTTCCCAAGTCACCTGAGGAGGGTCGCATGTCATCCATACCTGGGGTATAAATTAGTTTTTGATATTGCTACCGTAATAAGAACAGCTTGCTACAGTCTTTGACCAAATGAGATTCAAATTAAAAATGTTATATTAATAATTTTATAGCACATTATTGCAGAGGCCGGGAAATATGGGATTGCTGGACGAGTATGAGTTACAAGGGCGAACGCCAACGAGGCCTTGTATTAATACGAGTCAACCAATCCCCGTTCTCGCCGAGGCATCTATAGAATTTTACTCAAACTATGTGAGGAAATAATAAAATACTAAACAGAGGAAGATGTATAATAGAAAAAGTAAAAAAAAATATTAATTAATATGAAAAGTAATATTTATAGTGTTATGACAATTGCTAAAAGAAAATGTTATTGTTTTTCCATCAATAATATTAGTCTGCTGAACTTCTGATGATGCGTTTGATTCTGTATCTATTACTGTATTTTCGTTATCGCTCTTCTTACTAGCACTTATTTTCACGACCAAAATACAAAAAAGACGAAAAAACAAAAGAATACCAAAACACTTTAAGCGTTACCTCCATTTTTATTTTCTTTTATAAAGTAAGCCATACAGGTAGGTATTTTTCATCCTCGCAATTATGGGCAGTTGGTTGTATTAGTTTTTCTTTTGCCTGTTTACATAGTTCATTATTAGTAGATAGATTAAAAAGTTTAGAGAAGAGGACTGTAATGGATTTTCATACTCGTTTTGCAGGCCAAGAAGAAGTCGCATGGTCCATAAGTGACAAACTTTCCGTGTTCGTTTTTTGAAAGTAATGCAAACAAATCCGAGCATGTTTCATAAAAAATGTTTTTCATTTAGGTACCAAAAATTTTGTGTAGGGCTGTAAATTACAGTAGATACAATATGGGATTTTTACGATACTAAAACACGAAAAACGTAAACTTCCTAACATGATTTACGTGCGTGCCCAGCTACAGTAATCAAACCTTGCATTTTTGATGGTCTACTTTTACCCTGAACTGACGCTAACTACTTTTTGCTTCTTTTTTACCTTTAAAGGGAAGAACACTTAAATAGACTTTTACTTCTGTGTAAGTAAATATTTTAGTTTAACGAAATAAGAAATGGAACTATTTTTTCGAATCTTAATGGCGTATATTTATTTTTTCAAAGAAACTAAAATGTTTCGGATCCCATACAGGTCCCACGGTCACGGCTGACTTGGCTGACTACAACGTCCGGTCCGTACGGAACTGAAATAGAACAATTTTTACGGATCATAATCGCATACATTTGTTTTTTTTTTTCAAACAAACCAATGTTTCGAACTAGATATTTAACTAAATAATTTCGTGGTTTATCGGTACAAAAATTCTCGGATTTATATCCCAGTGGAATTCATCAGCCGGTTTTCATCTTGGCACATCCATTCATTTTCAAGGAAGGATCCTACGCGGACATTGTATCTACACCGGAACATGCTTGCATCAGTTGTTGTTGGTAATTTACGAATCACTTCGGTCTTAAACTTGTATTTGAGAATAACTGCTAAGTGTAGCCTTTTTCTGATTGCCTTATTCTAGCCTAACTATGTTAAGGAGACCTATACAGTATATACAACCAGGAACCTCAAACTTGGCGACACCATGAAAACCAGGGTACAAGCCACTAGACGAAATGAAAAACCTATGTAAAGAATGAACGTTTCTAAATTGGTTTTTGAATTGTGTGTTCGAAATATATATACTTTATAGTTTTGTGAACTTTCTATGTTCTAGAAAGTTCCATGGCGTTTACAAATAAGTGCATAATTTGAAACACAGGCGTGATCAGTTTCAGGGAAAGAAAACCTTGTACTGTAGCAAGCTTTCATTTATTTATAGTATGCTAAATATTTTGTTCATTCGGAACCACAAGCCAGACGTCTCACCTAATAACAAAAACAAGGATGCTTAACGCTTCTCGATTATTGCACTGCTCAGGAGGTATTGTTGTAAATACGTTGTAGACCTGTATGTCTACAGTCCGTACGTATACGGTTTCATAAGAGCATTATGGTATATCTATTCAGTAGTATTTTCTTTTCTTTGTTCCAGATATCACCCAAAGCCAGATGTTATGCCGGGGCGTATCTGCGCACAAAGTGAGCGGGCTCCGTGCGCACGCGCCACGCATCTCCTTCACCACCAAAGAAGAACAAGAATCGCATGAGTTGCGGCGAAAATCCGCCAGCTCACGGCTGGGAAGTTCCCCCAGATCTAGCATTGCCAGTGAGGAACGGGTTGATGGAATTGCTTTAAGGTTTGTGATTTTGATAATATGATTGGGCACACCATGCCAAAAAGAGGATCGAATGACCTTTTACAACAAAATACACTAATTACAGGAACTTGTCAACTTAGGTTTCAGAGTGACGGACGCAATAGCAGTGCCCGTCCAGTTACATGGTATCATAAAAAATTACGACATCAGTTAGCAGTTTAGATTTGGTAGCAGTAGAGCTCCTTGTGAAAGAATCCGTCTAGGGAAGTACTGCCACTTTACCTATTTCTGCCGCCAAGTAGTAAAATCAGCATTACTGTGTTCCGGTTTTGAAGGGTAAGGGTGCTGGTGAAATTACAGTCACATGGGACTTGTCAACTTGTGTCGCAGGGTGACAGGCACAGTGGCAGTGCCCCTCAGATCTTTGCGATTTAAAGCTTTGAGTGCCACTGCAACTGTTATGGACAGACGTGTAGCTTACCATCAGGCGCACGAATTGTTCAATCCGCCACTTGACATTATAAAAAAAATCTCTACGGGCGTTTCATGAGGAGATCTTGAGTTCTATCCTGCCAGGATCAATTTATGAAAATGAACTTTCGAAATTAATTTTGGTATTCTGGTACTTATGGTACAGGGATTTCTTAGTTTGAGTCCAAGTAATGCTTCTTGTCTGACTTTCTGATTGTTTGACATATTTTGCGTTACCAGTTTTCTCGCCTCTGTAATTGCCTAAAAATAATCTTTGAATTTTTAAAGGAGGAGGTACCGTAATCCTCGCCTATGGCAGAGTCGGTCGAAATCAGGATATAACTTCCTGATCCCGACAGACTGTGCCAATGTGTAATGTAATGTAATGTAATGTAATGTATTATTACATTATACTTGTCCTTACATTACTTTTCTGTGTTGTTATTGTAATTTTAATGTGCAATAAAGATATTTCATTCAATTATTCATTCTCCTTTTTTGTGCTTGTTGGCGCCATCATTAGGCTAAATATTTGAAATTGGGGTCTCTGTTGAGTCAGATACTACTTCTAAATGCATAATTGTAAAATATCAGGGATACATTTTTTTAGACTGGGTTTTACAAAGTATCACAAATTTTGGCGGAGAGAGCCCTCTTGCTCAGAATAGTCACATCTAAAACTTACAGTAAAGAACTAATTTAGAAAAAATAATTTCTAAATTGACCCTATCGGAAATCAAACCTCAGACCTCCTCATCCAGCGCTCACTGTGAAAACAGTTCTGCCACTGTGATCATCAAACCATCTCATAGCTTGATGTCTTGGTTATGGGCCCGGTGTATCTCTCTACTGTACATGGAATGCATTATATGATACAATATATACACTGAGTTACTTTTTCTGTTTAGCATAATAAATTAGTGCAAAATTCACAGTTTGGTACCAGCAGCGTCGAACTGAAAAGTAAATTAAAAACTGGCGGTTTTGCACGCTATTTGCAGGCGATTTCAAACTTAACCAGATTTTCACCAAGTTTTCAGGCTGAATTCAGCTATGTGTTTGCTTGGTTGAGAAATTCGTTATGTGGGGACACCGCTGCTAATACACTATAATTGTGTTATGCACAAACATCTAGTGGGTATTGAATCATGCGTCCACTGTATATCTTGAGTGAGAGCGTACCTATATTATGACTGCATTGATAGTGACAGGCATTGTTAGTAAACATTAACAAATGTACGTGACTTCGAAAATAAAATTCTTAAATACATGTATGTCGTCCTGGTGTTAATCGATTTAAACCAAAACTAAAAAAATATTTGTATGGCCTACATTTATTTCTCTCGTGAGTTTGGGTGTAATTTGTGGTTGTCCGTGTGTGTGTCCATGGCACCCGCGACACAGGGTTTCCCTAATGCGGGGCTATGTTGTGTGTGTGTGTGTGTGTGTGTGTGTGTGTGTGCGCGTGTGCATGTGCATGTGCGTATGCGTGTGCGCTAACGCGTGGGGGCGCGGGTGCGGGACTGGATGCGGGTGCGGGTTGCGGATGCGGATGCGGATGCGGGTGCGGAAGCGGGAGCGGGCGCGGGCGCGGGTGCGGGTGCGGGGGTAACGCCGAAAATCGAGGGCAAAAAATATTTCCAACTAAATACGTGTAGCAAATCGAGTTTTCTTCAAGTTCAGTAATATTGTCACAAAATGTTTATTACTTTCTGGTCTAGATGATTCGATTTGCCTTTTTAATGAATGGATTCGCTTGAAAATTGCATTGAAATAAATCGATACAAACGATCGTTAGATCGTACTATGCTCTTGAACGATCGTCATAAAAATCAAATGGTTCATTCTTGAGAATCTACAAGATTACAAGGTAGGTATTGTGAGGGGTTACTATTTTACTTAGTTATATTTTTTACATCGAAATTTTTAATAAGTAGGGAAGTACACCAAATTCCGTATTTGCCGTCTCTGCTCACGATATTGGGCAGATATGGGTTAAAACCCCGGCACTTTGGGTAAAATCTCGGTTTAAACCCGGGCGGGTTGATTGGGTTTTTACCCACTGGCCATCTCTGAATATGAAATATTTTACATGCCGTATTTTAGAAGAGACTAGCCTCCAGCGCTGATACTGGGATATATATAGGTTTGATATGGGTTCAGTGATATCCTTTATTAATGACTCTCACGCACACTACAATCATAGTATAATAACACAAGTAGTGTAACTCACCGTACAACCGTAGCAGCACGGCTTCTATGTGTGCATGCACACATTCGCATTATCTCTCGGTGCATTCACATTGCTTGTACAGGTCGTCTCATGTGCCATTAATTATAGAAATGAAGCATTCGTTCGATATTTAAAAATAACATCAAATGGCGAACGTGTTTAGTGTTGTGTTTAAGGTGGTTTGAACAAGAGTGACTCTTGCAGAACTTTTAAATTAAAAATTGTTCAGCATTTCATTTCTATTTCATAATCATACTCCCACAATCGAGGGACCAATTCGCGATGCTAGTATATAAAATATCAGTCTGCAAGTTTTGTAACAGTGTGTAATATTTAACAAAGGTTATTTCAATATAGCAAAAGAATATTGTTATGATCACTTTGTTTTTTATTAATTGTGTTTTTAATCTGTAGGTACAACTAAATTAATAATGTGACAACCCTACGCTTCGAGAGAAGTGTAGGCATTGATGCGCCGAACCGGCAGGAGTTTACTTACTGTCTTATTGCTTACTATCTTATTATACTATGCTACAATAAAAATCAACTCAAACACGCAATAGCACGAACGCTACACACACTAAAACACACACACAACTTGCTTTCTTATGACGAATTAGCAGTAAACTATTTAAGTATTATTTTATTAGACAACACCACACACGTTGCTGTGATCCCAAACTACGTAGCCAAAGCACTTGTGTTATGGTAATTGGTAACAACGACGGTACCACAAACACCCAGAACCGAAACAATATACAAAAGTTAGTTTTCTGCACTGACCCGGCCGGGTCAAAGTCAAAGTCAGAGAATCATTTATTCCAAAGGTAAAATAAATTTGCACTTGAAAACGCAAGACATAACTGGTTGAAGACTGTACCACCTCAGTCAACCGTGACCATGGGACCTGTAAAGGGCCCGAAACGTCGGTTTGTTTGAAAAAACAAATATACGCGATTTAAATCCGGAAAAATAGTTTCATTTCCTAAATACAAAAATGGTTTGAATATCTGCCGCTTTACCCCACATAAGAATCCCGTATGACATTATACTATGGAAGTAACTAAAGTAAATTAGTCTAGCAGTACTGACATCGGTAAGCACACGTATTCTGCGGACTGCGCATGCAGTGGAGCTTAATCTGCTTGGCCAGGGAAGATATATGTATGTGGAAACCATTGAAGTTTACTATCTAAGGTCACTCCCAAGAAGATTGCTTTATTAACAAGGTCTAACATGTCTCAGTTTATTTCTATGCTTCTATGCTTGGACTAGTCGATTTCGGGTTCCATCCCTGATCGAACCTCAAAGATGGTGTCACCATGAAAACCGGTGTGCAAGCCAGTCGTCCACCAAGGCCGTTATTTAAGTTTATGTTTTACTTGAAAATTACAGTTAGCCATAACCTTGGGATATTGGTTTAAAAAAAAAAACAAATAAACGCGATTTAGATCCGTAAAATAGTTTCAAACGTCACTACTTAGTTATTAATCTTGAGTTCCGTGTAACACGTGATTTTTTAAAGTACATTTTCAAGAACAGCGGATTTGCTGTTTTCCAAAATATTATATTTTCATTAGTAGATATTTATGCCTAGATTGTGGCGGCAAGAGAATTATCCTTTGCAATTTGCGTTTACATCAAAATTACGCCGACGGGTGGAGTAATTTCTTAACATCCGGCGAATCACTTGAAACACTCATGTTGATATTTGTACACATACAAAGAAGTATATCTAAATGGCAAATTTTGCAATTACTATTCCCCATACGTAAAGGTTTATTCATAATTGAAAGAAAATTAAAAAACATGGATTCGAATGCATAATTTAATTTTTTCGTGTTAATAACAATGCAATAATTTTCATCGTATATTCTTAGTAAATCTTACGCCAAACGTAAATAAACTACTTGCAATTAAACTTATAATAAAATCTTTGTCCTGCAAAAACTGTGGTGAGGGAAATTTACAATCTGGGCCTCAGAGTGTCTTTGAGAGATAAGTTTAAAAGAAATAATCTTATACTAGTATCGCAGTACATATTTATAATTCCACTTCTAAGGGTGGCAAACTAGGGTAAGAATCCGGTTTCACGTAGGTACCTGCCGGTAACGATTTTATTAAAACTTTTTAGTAGTAGTAGTAGAGCTCCTTGTGAAAGAGTTCATCCATGGAAGTACTGCCACCTTACATATTTGTGCCGCCAAGCAGTAATATCAGTATTATTGTGTTCCGGTTTTGAAGGGTAAGTGTGCTGGTGAAATTACAGGGACATGAAACTTGTCAACTTATGTCTCAAGGGCGCAGGGGCAGTGCGGGGCTATGAGTGTGTGCA